CTTAATATTCTAATAGACGTTTCAGTACATTTAGACTTTTACTTTCTTTTCATCGAAAGTAAATCCAATAGAAGAAAGAATGTATAAAAGTGCATTATTTAATTGAGCTTCTCTTGACCTTTTTAATTGTTTTAAAGTCATAGAATTTTCTTTTAATGGAATATAACCTAAATCTGATAATAAAAATTGTGAAAAATATGCAATTTCTGCTTGATTTAATACTTTTCCAGTTGGTCTATATTTTATTTCTTCAACAATTAACATTTTAATTGTATGAATAGTCTTTTTTGTTTTTTTTACTTGTGCATCAAATCCCATTTTAACTAGAAGATAAAGCAATCCATTATATACTAATGTCTCTTCATTTCTTGACATCCTTTTTCTTTCTCTAAGTATTTCTTCATATTCATTTTTATCTCCTGAATTACTCATTCCTTTGTTTTATTGTTTATTTTAGTTTAAACCCTTCTTTTTATACTGGCCCTTTTTTTTAATTTTAATTGTCCCTGATTGAACTTTGTTTCATTCTTTCTCTTGTATCTCTTATTTGATTGGTTCATTCTTCTTTAGGGGTAATTTAAGTTCTTCTTTTTTTTTTATAAAGTTCTTCCTGTAATCTCAATTAGAATTGAATAAAGATACACTTTCTATTTATTTCTTTCTCCTTATCTTCTTTTTTTTCTTTTCCACTCATTTTCCTTTTTATCAGTTCTTTTTTTTTATTTTTGGTATTTTTAGATTATTTTCATGAATATATCAAACCCGAAGTGTTTCATATTTATTTTTATTCTTAACAAAGAGTATCGGTCCATTAGAAATAAAAAAATGAAATGTTGTAAATTTGAAAAACTTTAATAAAAAAAATAATATAGAAATTATATTTAAAATGAACTTCTACTTTTTCGAATCACACAAATCTATTAATAATGAGAGATTGTAGTTTTTGATAAGATTTTTCTCATTTCTTTCTGATATTGTAGATGTTGTTATATATAAACTGACCTATTAGAAATAAAGATAAACAGAAATAAGGAATACCAATAATCTGATAGTGTTAGTTACTGAGTGTTGACTAAATATTACAATCAAGGAAGTTATTAAAATGATTATTTCTTTAAGTCCAATGTCCAAAAACACTATTAAAGAGGTTTAAGAGAGAAACGGTTTATTCTATGTTAAATGTTATAGAATGGTTTTATTTATTAATATAGTGAAACCAAAAGACCTTTATTTTTCAGTCAATTTAATAAATTGCAAAACAACAATAATTTTGTCTATTTTTGATATATTGCATTTTCAAAGTGTGTGATGATTATTAAAAGCAAATATACATGAAGTAATTTAAATAGTATTAAAAGGTTAATTTAATAATATACCTTTTAAAGATAAACAATAAATTTCAAAGAGAAAAGAGTATTTAATAAATTATTTTTAATGAGGTAAATCAATTGATATTAATAATAACAAAAAAGAAATAAAATAATTTATTAAGTGTTTTATTGAAATAAA